ATGAAAGAGGATGCACACGTGAAACAGGAGGACCATGACAAGCAAAATCGCGATTAGGAGCAGTAGTGACAACCTTCAATAAAGGTCGGCCATCAACGACACTTAGGAAAGGGCAGTAATTACACGACGTCGATACAGTTCCACCAAACTATGACGAAGAAGACAGCAAACGGCACACCGCAACATCCGACAAACGCCCTCTAACGTTTTACGTCACCGAGTACAGCGTGAAATCGAAAGGCAGGTCTGCAAAAATATTAAATTATAACCATTGAAACCCTTTCCATTTGGCTGCACACACTGCGAGGGAGAACACCAACTGAAAACGTTCGCGGAGGCCACCCTGCCACCAACGGGTACCGTTGGCATAAGTATCCTGGAAGCTGAACGTTGACGACCCAAGATGTCAGTGTGGTGGCCAGTAGGTACTCCCTGTGCGTCCAATGAACGGAGAATGGACAAAATTGAACGTTGTTGAACCCGTTCGACGGGCCCGGGGACCCCCGTGACCCTGTATATATATATATATATTTTCGATTATGTTTAGCCCAGGAAACAAATCATTGCGGACCCCGCTTTCCTCCGTCTAACGGACGTTTAAACGGGGATTCAATGCGAATTCAACGCGCGTTGAATAATTCAATGCGGAACCCGCGTTGAATCCAAAATCGGACAAATAGGGTGCTTCAATGGACCAGCCGACGAAAATTTATTGTTGACGATGGGTGCCCTTGCCGCTCCGATTATGGCAGAGCCTTGGCCTCTGAGGGACCTTGGGAGGTACATTGGGGAAGGCCACAAAATGGTTGTAGCCCGAGGACGCCCCGAGGATTCCGGAGAACATGTTTTCACATTTTTTTAATCTATTTATCCACATGAATAGGTGGAACGATAATTTCCTCGGGGGCTTCACGCGCCCGAGAAGTGTCTAACGAGGCCCTATATTGAATCAGAAGCAAATCAATGCAAAAGGTGCCTCTTAAAAAGAAAAGTTGTATTGTGTGTATGGAGCAATTGGTCAGAAGCGTTTGACCATAGCGCAATTAGTGAAAATTCTTTGAGAAGCAGGTGCTTCAGAATATTCTATTATTGTGGCAGTCACTGCATCAGATCATGCTCCTCTTCAATTTCTTGCTCCTTATGCAGTTGTGCTAAGGGATAATTTTTCCGAGACAATGGAATACACGCTCTAATTATCTGTGACGATCTAAGAAAACAATCAGTGGCATATTTACAAATGTCATTATTGTTACGTCGACCACCAGGTCGAGGAGCTTTCCCAGGAGATGTGTTTTCTCGACATTCTCATTTTATTAGAAAGAGCCGTCAAAATGTCATACGAAGCTGGTGGAGGTAGTCTGATTGCTTTGCCTGTTATCGAAACACAAGCCGGAGATGTATCTGCTTATATTCCTACCAATGTAATCTCCATTACGGACGGACAAATCCTTTTGGAAACAAAATTGTTTCCTCATGGAATCCGACCTGCTATTAACGTAGGATTGTTTGTGAGTCGTGTAGGCTGCGCCTGAGCATGTTGTCCTTGTCAATCCTCCGCCTCGCCTTCCAAGCCAAACGTCAGTCCTGCAACAAAGTGAGCCATACAGGCCCACGAATATGAAATGGCACTAGTCACCGACGACTCCTTGCACACCATTTCGTGATCGACAGGACACCGCTTGCTGGAAATTTCTGCAACGCACTATGATTTCCTAACCACCTCAACCCCCCCCCCTCCTCAAAAACCCTCTCAATGGCCTCGCTAGGCCTGACAACCAGTAGACCCTACACTGAAAAAAATGCCTAGAGTGTATGAAGTTACAATAGAAACATGCTCTACGCGTTGTGAACGAAAAAAGGAAAAAAAGAGGGATAGAGATAAACTCTGGAGTGAGTTTGGCATGTGCTTTTCTAGGTGCACGCTGCGTCTACAGAGTCCATACCATGCAGCTGCTATGCCTGGTCTATGTTTTCCTATATGTTTAGTGTGTGTTTATGGTGTGCATTCTGTGTTTCCTATGCCTGTGGTTTCAGGGGACTATGCGGGCACCTGCGTGTCACCCCATAACAATACGGGGTGTCCTTACGGCCCATACAGCCAGACGTACGGGCCCCCAGGCGGCCGTACGAGCTGTTTCGGTGACCTTCCCGGGGAGGGTTCTGACACGTTAGGGGTTGGAGGGGGTGTGCATGTCGGGGGCTATCCCCCCAAAGTAAAAAAAAAAAACAGAAAAACAAAATTGTTCGTTTGGGGGG